CACACACACACACACACACACACACATACCCACACACAAACAAACATACTCTCTCTCTCTCTCTTTTTCTCTATATATCTCTCCGTCTTTGTCCCTAGCTTGCGAAAGAGTAAAACCCAACAGTAACCTACGGTGAAGTACTACGTCTGATGTCATGAAAGCGCCCCGTGTGCAACAAACTGATTTCGAAATAACGAACCCCTTTGTGGCCGTCGGGGTTGGTGGCCTCTGTGATAGGCCTAACTCCCTTCCTCTTGTCGTAATCTTCACGGCCGCCGACCAATCAACGTCCTGGAAATAAATGTCTATTCAATAAAGTACTGCTTTCGTACTTGAGACAATCCACTCGGTGTTTGGTCCGTTTCTTCGTGTACTTTATTTTCTTCCTTCACTTTTTTCTCTGCGGTGGTTACTTTAGCACATAATATAAGTCTTTTTCTTAGTATTTCAACGACTTTGAGGAAAGCGAAATATCAAACGGAGAAGCTGTAGTTGTAGCTCAGGTGAGTAAAAGTGTTTTGACGACAGCTGTTTGTTAGTTTAGTTTTAGTGAGAGTTTTACGGCGCTCGCAACTGCATAAGGTTATATATGAATGCGCGAAACAAGTTGGTTGCAGTCACAACAGTTCACAGCACGGCTTGGCTCGGGTCAACGATCAGATTTTAAATGTTAAAAACTTGAAGTAAAATAACAGTCTAAAAATGATAACCTATTTAAAATCAAAGCAACTGTATTTACAATTTTCAGTAAGGTACATTAGTATATTATGTTAGTTGACAATCTACTTGGAAAGTGTGGAAATGTGAGACTGGGTAAACGTTCCCTAAGAATGACTGGATTCTAGCCGAGAACTGAGGTACACACTGCACATTTCTGACATTTCCCAGCTGAACTCTGTGCCAAAAGTTCGAGAGGATGTGATTTTTTTTCTTCAGTGGAATATTTAACTTTAAAAAATAAAGTAAAAAAACATTTTAGTTATATGAATGTGAATCTTGGTATCACATTTTCTTCTTTTTTAAATAAAAATATACGTTGTATATTAAAAAGCCTGTCATTGCAAGAGTGAAAAAAAAATTGAGAAAAACCCTTGAACGCGTCAATTTTCCCCCATCTACTCTACAAAACCAGTTGTGCTCCTTGGATAACGATAATGCTCTTCACGAAAAATAATAGTGAATTTCTTCCTGACATTTGACAAGACCTCCGATGGGTCATTTGTTTGGGGAAGGGGGGGGGGTTGTTGGATTTTGTTGTTGTTGTTTTTTTTGGGTTTTTTGTTTTTGTTTTTTTATTGTTGTTTTTTTTTGTTTCTTAATATTGAATTCATTTGGTTATGTGTGGCTATCCAAAAGTTAAGAATTGGACCTATGATAATAGTTATGTAGAAACGGCCTCAGAACGTTTTACTCTTTGATAATTCCAAACACTTGCAGAGTATTGCATCAGGGTTTTTTAAGGGGGGGAAGGGGAGGGGGGCGTGAAGGGGGAAAAGATG